GCCCCGGCCGCGCCTCGGCGGCTGCGCTTGCACAACTCGGCCCCGGGCGGGTTCGGGTCTCGCCGGGGCCCTGCGCCCTCCGCCCACACGGCGCGGCCGGAGCAGCCGCCTCCAACGCCACTTGTGGAGTTCTTCCCCCGGCGGCGGTAACTTTACACTAGCCTGAGAGAGGCCTATTTTTATTCAGAAACCAGCAACCAGAGTGTCTATAGAGAACGCTCCGATGGAGGGCCAGCCCACCACTTGAGGATTTCTCACAGATTGGTGGGGAAGGAACGTCTTGCCCTACTAGCCTTTCTCTGAGATTTCAGAATTCTGCGGCCATCATACAATTAGAGCGGAATTGGTTGCTCGCGGGGGCGGGGAGCTTTTGGATCAGCTGTTGCCCTAACCTGGCGGAGCTGACGCTGAACCCCACCTCTCGGCCTCTAAGCCCTGAGACCATCACGCAAAGCCCGGCCCAGACCGTGCCCTGGTCACCTTCCTGCTGGAATCGTTCCAAGAGCTGTTAGGGACAGGCTCACGGTGGGGAGGAGCAAAGAGATGAATGTAGCAGCCAAGTACCGCCAGGCATCCCTGTATGTGGGTGATCTCAATGCAGATGTCACGGAGGACCTGCTGTTCAAAAAGTTCAGCACTGTGGGGCCTGTGCTGTCCATCCGCATCTGCAGGGACCTGGTCACCCGCCGCTCTCTGGGCTATGCCTACGTGAACTTTCTGAAGCTGGCTGATGCCCAGAAGGCCCTGGACACAATGAACTTTGACATGATAAAAGGCAAACCCATCCGTCTCATGTGGTCTCAACGTGATGCCTACTTAAGGAAATCTGGCATTGGGAACGTGTTCATCAAGAATCTGGACAAATCTATTGATAACAAAACCCTTTATGAACATTTTTCAGCTTTTGGGAAGATCCTATCCTCCAAGGTGATGAGTGATGATCAAGGCTCTAGGGGCTATGCATTTGTGCACTTCCAGAACCAGATCGCGGCCGACAGGGCCATCGAGGAGATGAATGGGGCCCTGCTTAAGGACTGCAGGCTGTTTGTTGGCAGATTCAAGAACCGTAAAGATCGGGAAGCCGAGCTCCAAAACAAGGTCAATGAATTCACCAATGTTTACATCAAAAACTTTGGAGATGACATGGATGATGAGAGACTGAAGGAAGCTTTTAGTAAATATGGCAAAACCCTGAGTGTTAAGGTGATGACAGATTCCAGTGGGAAATCCAAAGGCTTTGGCTTTGTGAGTTTTGATAGCCATGAGGCTGCCAAAAAGGCTGTTGAAGAAATGAATGGAAAGGACATAAACGGACAGCTGCTTTTTGTAGGCCGGGCGCAAAAGAAATCAGAGCGGCAGGCGGAGTTAAAGCAAATGTTTGAGCAGCTGAAACAGGAAAGATTTCGGAGATGCCAGGGCATGAAGCTCTATATTAAGAACCTCGATGATACCATTGATGATGAAAAACTGTGGAGGGAATTTTCTTCGTTTGGGTCAATTAGCAGAGTCAAGATAATGCGGGAAGAAGGGCGAAGCAAAGGGTTTGGCTTGATCTGCTTCTCCTCTCCTGAGGAGGCCACTAAAGCAATGGCTGAGATGAATGGCCGAATCTTGGGCTCCAAGCCACTCTACGTTGCCCTGGCCCAGAGGCCCTAGGAGAGAAAAACTTACTGCACCAGCCAGTGTTTGCAGCAGGCGTGCGAATGATAGTGATCTCTGCCTTTGAATTATCCTCAGAAAATTTCAAATCCCAGCTGATGGCCGCTTAGTTTAGTAAACTTTGTGATAAAAGGTTTTGTATACAAAGCTATTTTTTCTTGTGTGGAAAAATAAATGAATCTTGGAAGCTTGATTCATTTTACAGAGGCACATCTTCTAATTACAATGTTACATATTTCTCTGTTTTTGATTTAGTATTCAAAGCAATAAGTATAATTAGATATATTTTTATTACATTTTGAACCATCTGAAGTGAGGTAATTATTTGAGTTTATTTCATATTTTCTTTCTTATTTTAATAATATTGCTAGCTTTAATTTCTTCTATGAAAATATGCTAAAAATAGTTCTTATACCTAAGGATCACAAAGTAATTTATTTTTACAAACAGAAATTTTCTAATTTCTCCTCTAAGCTTTTTAAAGAAACCAAAGATTTAAGAATTGCTAGTATAAATCTAATTTCATTTTGAATTAATGTTTAAAGTACTAGGAAATAGTTGAATTTCTTTTGAATTTGTATCCTGACGTGATTGTTTTTTTGATGGCTGAAATTAATGATGGAGGTTTTTAATGTTGCCTACAAACCTGATTTGTAGGATATTTTGCTATTCTTTCCATTGGTAGACTATATATAATTTATGTGCTTGCTAGTTATCAAAACTGGGACTTGAATAGTAAAACCTTAACTTCTACATTCTTTAAGTTATAAACTTTTATCAATAAGATGACAAAAAGTTGGCTTGGTCTTAATTCTCTTCATACCTATACAAGTTAGTATTATGACTTAAGTTTTTACCAGACACCAATATTATAAAAGTCATATATAGAGAATATAGAAATTCTGTTTAACAATTCTTTTTCAATCTCTATTTTATATTGTTCGATGTAATGATATTATCTCAGGGTTCAGAAAAGTATGTTTCTTTATTTTTATGAACTCATATCTCTTTTTATTAGAACACGAGCGATACATAACCCATTAAGATTCAGTTTTAGCCTCAATTTATCAGAAGCTCACTAATTTTCTGATAAATTGAAATTACATCAATTTGCCTGTTTTCTAGAATAATATTTTAGTCCCATTCCAGACCTCCCTCTCTCTCCTACCCTTGATCTATATTAGTCAGCTTTGCTTTATACTTTTTTAAAAAGGGTTTTATTATATTGATTTTTACTATATGCTATTTGAAATCCACCTTGGAAACAGAGACAAGAATTATTCATTTACACTTAAATAATTACTTTTAAAATTCTGTTTTACCAAAGGTGTCTGGAGAATAGCTTTGCTGTTCTTGTTGTTGCTATTTTATTTTAATCTTATTTTTTTTTACTCTGCTTAGAGGTTTCCTGTAACCATATATTAAAGTCTTCTGTTTCTTATATTACCAGTACAAAAGATATATTAAAAGATTTTCTTTGGCAATACTTTAGCTATGAAAGAATGAGAAAATCTGTTTCTGTTTATTTTTGTATAGACTATATGTTTATTCATGGCACATTTTCTAAATTAAAAGTCTCTTTTAGACAATGAAAAAATTATGGACAATGAAAAACTTACAGCAACATATAATACTATTATGCAGACAAATCTTCTGTTAAAATTTGTTGCATATCCTCCCAATTTTTTTATACATATACACATAATTTAACAAAAATAGAATCATTATAACCTTATTACAAATTACTTTTTTAATTTTATAATATGCCATATCAATTTCCATATCCACAAATAATTATTTGCATTATAATTTTAATGACTTTTATTCCTTCAATGTTTGTACTATAATATAATGAATTTCCTCTTGATATGGATAAAGGTTGTTAGATTGTTTCCTACCCTCCCCTTTTTTCCTTCTGTCATAAACAACTTGGAGATAAACATCCTTGCAAATTTATGTATGCTGATATATCCAGTTATTTTCTTAAGAAAATGTATAATTCATTGGAATTAATGTTTAAAAGGGCAGTAGTTTTAAAAATAATTTTGATAAATATTGCCCAAATGCTCTCCAGAAAACTTGTGCCATTTCCATTTCCATTTTCTGTGTGGAGGGCTGCCCATTTCCATATACTCCAAGAACAAGAGATTATTTTGTTTAAGTTGTTAGCCAATTCAAAATGATACATAAAGCAAAATATTTCATGGTTACTTTTTTTTTTTATTACTACAAAAGTTAAATACCATTTCTTGTGTTTGTTGGCCATCTGTGTTTTCATATTTATGAATTAATGTTTCATGATCTTCATCTGTTTTCCTTTTGGGTTGTTTTTATTTGTACGGATTTGTTACATTTCTTTACGTATTAAGAACAAAAGTTTAGACTTTTTTCCCCAATATTCTCACTTTGTTTATAGTTTTGAGGGTCATTCCAAAGTTAAACTCAGAAATTTCAGTCTTTTACTTAGAAGGTTTTGATGTTATGATTCAAAACACTTTGAACAACTCAAATACACACACACGCACAATTAATCTGTATCGTCTTCTACTACTTTCAGAGTTTTCTTTCTCAATAATTTCTAAGCAAAACTTTTGTCTGTGAAGTATCTTATCCACAGTTGTAGTAAATCTCTTAAAATTATCTTGCTTTTCAAGTTTTATTAATATGTTTGGTAAATACCTACCTCCTGTAAGAATCTATGTGAGACTCATATGCCAACTTGAATACATTGGGCCTTTGAATCACTGTGTTGAGAAGTATTTACCTCAAAAGCAGAGAGTTTTTAAGAAGACTGGGCAATAGGACTGGGAAATGTAGTAGGTGTGTCAAGCCTTGACATCTCTTTCTGGCTAAGCCAGTCTATCAAAGTGTTCAAATATTTGAACAATATTTCATAATGCTTGTAAATGGATTGTTAGGATAATATCAGGGAACTGAGTGTTATGTGCACAAGGAATTAATAGGACATAATATCAGATGTCTAGATGAATTGTAGCTGTAGCTTCATGACACAATATTCTATCATTTTAGTAGAAATTGCTTATTTTTATACTTACCGTAAGAAATGACAAAGTCACTTTATAAAAAAAATATAATCCTGTGGATTTTCTTGATTAATTTATTTGAATTTTGCTCATTTTCAATTTTGTGTGTGTGATAATATCAAATCATCCTAGTTGGCAGTACAGGTTCATTCTTTGAAGAAAATTTAATCATTATGCCCAAGTGCCTTGATAAATAAGAAGAATCTTTACTTTTCTGATAAGCATTCCAGTAAGAGCTAATTTACATAGGTGCCTTGAGCCACTGCTTCTATTCTTGCCTTCCTCTACCTACAGATATTGCCAAGTTTGTTGTAGATACCTGCTGGCATGCACCGCCAATTCAATAAATGTGCCTTCTAACATTTACCTAAACATAAAAAATTTCTAAATATTTTTAAATTTTTAAATGAAAATCTTTAGTTAGTAAAAAGAAACATTTTAAAGTGGTTTAGAATTGGTAATTTCAGGGCGCCTGGGTGGCTCAGTCGTTAAGCATCTGCCTTCGGCTCAGGTCATGGTCCCGGGGTCCTGGGATCGAGCCCCGCATCGGGCTCCCTGCTCCGCGGGAAGCCCGCTTCTCCCTCTCCCACTCCCCCTGCTTGTGTTCCCTCTCTCACTGTGTCTCTCTCTGTCAAATAAATAAAATCTTAAAAAAAAAAAAAAAGAATTGGTAATTTCATGTTCTCAATATTTTTTAATAAACCCATCGAGAAAAGATCAAATAAGGTTTAATCTTGCAATGGTAAAGACATGTCTAAAAATGATTTTTTATTTAATTTTTAAGTATTTCTAATTTTCTAAAGATCGCTTTGTCTTAGGAATAAACTGAAAACAACTTGCATTTTTAAATCAAGATATTCTTATTTCATGTTTTAAAACACCAACTTCCTTATGAACTAATATTTCTTTTACAGTCACTCATAATTATGGGACCATGATTGAAAAGAGCCACTAATATAGATCAAGTTTTCATGAGGAATAATTGACTATTTTTTAAAAAGATTTTATTTATGTATTTGACAGAGAAGAGAGAGCACAAGCAAGGGGAGTGGGAGAAGAAGAAAAGGTTCCCTGCTGAGCAGGGAACCCAACACGGGGCTGGATCCCAGAACCCTGAGATCATGACCCAAGCCCAAGACAGACGCCCAACTGACTGAGCCATGCAGGCGCCTCAATAATTGACTATTTTTAAAACACTTCTGCATTCAATTGTTAAAGTAAAATTCAGCTAACATGTTGAGGATTTAGAATTAGCTTACTTGTATTTGGAAAATATGCCTCCTAATGTAATTTTTTTAAAAAAACATAGATAAAACATTTGATAAAAAAGATTTTTTTAATCTACATTTTAAAGAGTAGAACAAATTAAATATCCTTATGATATCTTTGGCTAACAGAAAATTCCAATTCACACTAGAAAAGGAAATTTTATCTAACAAAATATTCAGTTTAAATATTTTCAGGCATAGTATACTAAGACTTCTGTAACATTTTGGAGTCTCTTGGCTCTTCCTCCCCGCCCCCCCCCAATCTCAGCTTTATTATCAGGCAAGTGGCAAGATGGCTGTAGGAATTTCTGTCATCATACTGAGACACAACAACATTCAGAAGGTGATATCTTTCCTAGAAACCTTTTAACAACTTTCTGCCTCAGTTCTTATTGTCCATTATTGGTATAGAGAGTAAACAAGATCTGCCACTAGAATTGAAGAAGTAATCAACTTTCTTTTTTTTTTTTTTTAAGATTTTGTTTATTTATTTGAGAGAGAGAGAGAGAGCACATGAGACGGGTGGAGGGTCAGAGGGAGAAGCAGACTCCCT